TATTTACTAAATTATTCTCTCCTTTACATGATGTTGGCCACTTGGTACATTTCTATTGTCCCCTAATTGCTAAAGTCTTCACATTTTCATCCAAACCCCAAAATCAGGGAACCGAAGGAGAACGTCAAAATAAGCCTCAACCGACTGCAACGCAACAGGAATAGGCCACTCTCTTTTAGTGAAATCTACCCATGAATCTGTTTATCCGACACTTTCACACCACATGAAAGTCGTCAAGTTGCTAAATGCTGCGTCATTTTAGAGAGGATTCATCAAAAAGTGTCAGGACTCTTCTGTTTGTGTGGCTGTACAATTGCGTGCCTTAATCCCACGCCTTATTTTCTCTACATGTTTTGAGAAGACAGAAGATCCGGTCAAATGGATCAACTAAGCGCCAGAATAGGAGAACAACATTCTGTACGCCTGCGTCTGTGTCTGTATCTGTGTGCATGCCTTTCATTTTGAGTGAAAGTGTGCAAAGCGGAGACTCAGGGGTCGAGCTCAACGGAAGACGAGAGCTCTGATAATGTCTGTCAACTGAGATGACAGGTAAAATCTTAGCTCGTCTTTACCAGAACCAAAGAAGGTTGTCTCGGCGAGTACACCAGCCTGAAAGTAACAGTAAACTCGAAAAGAAAAGCAGAATAAGCGAAATGTGGCGTTATCTTCTTTTAAGATCGACCGATGAATGTCTGCCTTGCACACTTTCACTCAAAATGAAAATCTTGTATACAAATAGAGAAACTTGTCGTTCGAGTCTGGGGGGGCTTAACTAATCCAAATCATCGGCTTGTGAAGAAGGCAGAGTTTGGGATCCAAGGCTGTCCTACTCTTACGCTCACTTGTGCAGGCACACAAAAAAGGAGGGTCCTGGGTCGTCGGATGAATCCTATCTAAAATGGCTCAGTGCCAACCAAGTTAATGGCTTCACAAAAATAAAGTGGCGGATTCCTCTTTCACTGAGGTCGGTTCAGTTTCGGTATAAACGTTTAAACATTCGTTAGAGATGCCACTTCACACCTCGTCAGGAATCGTCGTCCTACTTACAACAACGTCAAGAAGCCTGACCGGCTGTTCTTTGAACGCCTAATTCAGTCATAACAATAAAAATGTCCGAAAAGTAAAGGTATATGATAAATTTGATGTGTTCCTTTTAATGCAATTCGGAGTAATTGTATGTTTTTAGCACTCATACTTTCACTCACACTCAAGTCTACATAAAAATTAATTAAGCAAGTGATTCTATATTATTTTTTGGATTTTGTTTTTATTGTTTTGTAAGCATGTGTTACATTTAAGGAAGTACTGGCTAGTCTTATTTACCTAGTCCTGGCTTATACCTTCTGTGGGATGAGATTCAACATTTACGATGTCTTTAGAATGACATAACCGACGAAAAGTTGGTTCAATTGCATCACAGCCGAGAGAGGGTGTCTTGATGACTGCGTCCACATTCAACTAGATTAAACTATCAGACGACTGCAAAGCTACATGACTCGAAAGTGTATAATAAAATTTAGACCACGACAACCTTGGGAGCTACATCAAAATCCAATTACACACTTCTTTCATACGAGAGCGAAGTGGGTCCAGAACATGGAATATAATGAAGTTATTTAGATACATTAAGTGACAAACTCAGAATTGCCCATCTGTACAATAGGCGTGCTATACAGCTGTACGTCTATTGAGGTATGGTTTCTTTGAAACTAATACCCCCATGTAATGTAGGTGCAGATAACAACAGAAAAAACTGCCTTAAATTTGAAACGATAAATAATTTCGAAGCTAAATTTAAATTGGGCATCTTGTCCGAAGTCCTTTGCCATTTTAATTATCCTAATTGCCAGGGTCGGATCGTGGTCTTGGTACATTCAAAGAAGTTTCGTCACAAGCGTCAGTAAGTCAATCTACAACTCGTCAAAGTGACATGTAAAGTCAACCTTCCGTCCAACGATTGTGTTATTACTCATCATTCTGTCCTGACACATCTCCCTACTCCCTACCTACCCTCCTATCTCATTTCCGCCCTACCAAAACTTCGGACTTTTTATATTCAACTCCTCAAAAGGTGTGCTCTTTTTAGCGAGTTTAGTGTAGCGCCATCACACCTGATGCCCACCTTGTCTCCCTCCACCCTCTCGATTTGATGCTCCGAATTGTACCTCATATCCGGATCTTCTCCATCGGCCCGTTGATCCGTTTCTCATCTTTCGCCTTGACTGAATTCATTCGGTTCCAGTCCAAGCATACGATTCACTTTAAGCGCTATTTCTTAAGCCTTCAGTACCATGTATACAGTCACCTCAGAGAACAGAGTACCACAGACTCTGATTCAGGAAGTTTGTCTCTGTTCGCCTGCTGCATCTCGAGTGAGTTTCTAGTCAATTTGACGATGATACCGAATTTCTGTGGAGCTTGTTATTAAACATCTCTCTAGTCCTGTAAGCATCAGGTCTGCAAATTTAGAGTTGTTTCTTCACGCTGAGGTAAGCCTGTTGTATTGCTGGAAGAAGCCATCGGATCATCATCCTGCGACCCCGATTAAACCTCTACTAAACCCTTGTCTGTACTTTTGTGACAGATATTCTTCAAGCAAGAATTTATACTTTACGAAATAGACCAAAAATATGCCATGCAGATACGAAGGGTAATTCGATTTCGACCAATCCGGTTTCGGTTTCCAGTGAGGTCACCTCACGAAATCCTGCCAACCAACTTTTCATTATAAATGGAAAATAAATTCACAATATGTCACTGAGGCAGTCTTGGAAAGATCTTGGAGAATGCAAGAAAACGACAATACAAGAAAAAAGCAAACGCCTGGATCAATTATCTGTCGTTAATCAGATTATAAGCGATGACAAAGAAGAAATGTGGGAGAAGTTTCTGAAATCAAGAAAATATGTTTTCAGTGAGTGTTGTCCGCTCGAAGCAACAACTCCAAATTTGCAGACCTGATGCTTACAGAACTAGGGAGATGGTTAATCACAACCTCCACAGAATTTCTGCATTATGGTCAAATTGACTAGAAACTCACTCGAAATGCAGCAGGCGAACAGAGACAAACTTCCTAAATCAGGGTCTATGGTACTCTGTGCTCTGAGGTGACTATGTACATGGTACTGAAGGCTTAAGAAACAGATACGAAGAAAAGTTGGGTTTCGAGGAATCTCTTGTTTCATAATTGTTTAGCTTACTTACATTTCGAGTGGAAGCGTTGGGTGAAGAGATTCGAAGGTCGGTTCCGCCAGAAGACTCGTTAGCTTGAATTTTGTTGTGACGATGGTACCTCGCTCTGATGATGTCCGTCAC